AATGTACCATCGCAAATGAATTATATATTTAACTAGGCCATAATTATACTTATAGCATTATAACTCTCTTATGCACAAATACACAGGAATTATAATTTTTAGAAGAGGTAGCAATTTTCCATGAAGGACATTTTGTTAGTATCCCAAAACTTAAATATAACCACTGATATTCTCTTAATTGATGTATCAACACATGATAAGTAGGAAAGAAAATACAAATATCTGAACAAACACATTCTTAACAAAATATGACAGAAACACTTATGTCAATTATAGTCTTCATTTCTGCAATTGGTCGCATGGCCTTAGCTGGTATTTATAACTTCCTTCTTCTGCTATTCATCCTGTACTTCCTCTACCCTCAACAAGGACTTCAGAGGGTCTTGGTTCTCTTCCTGGAGGAGTGACCCATGCTAATGCAACGAATATATATCAAAAGGAATTCATTTGACTGGCTTACACAATACAGTCTGAAGAATCCAATAGTGACTGTTTCTCACCGGGAAGGCTGACAACACATTAGCTGCTCAGGCCATGAGGCTAGATCCCTCCTCAGCCCCAGTCGGCTGCTGGAGGCCTGGAAGATTCCTGAGGGCCACTGGTCTTCAGTCTCCACTGGAAAACTGAAGAAACTGTGTTCTGATGTCAATGAAGATGGCAGCAACAAAAGTAGCAGTCGCAGCAGCAACTCACCAGTGAGAGGTGACAGCAAGCAGGCACAAAAGCAGGAAAACCATTGCACTTGGGCTTCCCCAAATCTGGGCCATTGCCAGGAAGTGCCTACCATCTCTATGGAGCGGTCTTCTCAGCTCAACCCTAATCAAGAAAATCCTAACCTAATCTAGATAACTCTTCACAGGTATGCCCAGAGGCTTGTCTCATGGATGAGTCCTTCATGATGGGTCCCCACCAGAGTTCTAGCCTTCATCTTTAATTCTTACCTGGGATGCTAAAGAAGTGACACCTGAGTGGCTCTAATCTATAATTCTTTTTTTGCCTGTGCTCAAAAGAGAGCTCTGCACAGGTCTCTTGCAACTTACAACTCTGTGTCTTTGTTCCGCAAGCAGTTGTAGTTCTGAACCAGATCTAGGTTGCCATTTACTACAGGGTTTCTCTCACTGAAGGCTCTCAGTCAGTTTCTAAGTCATAGGATCAGTGCAGTCAGTTGTGATTATTTAAAAAAAAAATGAACTGAAAACATGATACACACCAATGAGGTGAAACAGTGAATAAGGATGCAAGCCAGATGTCCTAAGCTCCACCCCCAGAAATCATGATAGAAGGAGAAGAGAAAACAGGCTCATGACAGTTGTCCTCTAACCTCTGCATGCCTGATCTTCTCTCTGTCTCTGTCTCTGTCTCTGTCTCTCTCTCTCTCTCTCTCACACACACACACTAATTAATAAACAAAAATTCTTTTTAAATGAAAAACCATTGTATATCAAAATGCTTCACAAAACTTTTGGTCAATCATATTAAAACATACAAAATTCATTTGCCAGACCTTGGGACACAACCAAAATAATTAGAGAAATACTGATGTGCAAAAGCCTTTAGTCTATGAATACATGCCTTCTTCAATGGTGACTTTTATGTCAGAATCTTAGAAGAAGAGATATAAAGCCAGTCACTGCTTTGGGGATTTCATTGTAAAGCCTCTGCCATTCAATGCTTCCAGCTTGACATCAGACTGCTGTGGTCACATCCTGTCCATCTGAGTTTCTTTACTGCTTTATATATTCTAAACAGTTTCATTTTAGTCCAACGATTCTTCCTTGGAGCTGGGAGACCTCACATAATATCACCTGACCCGGAATGTATCTATAGTTTTTATTGACATGGCATTTCTTTTTACCTGCATTGCTGAGAAAATACTGAGAATAACAAGAAGTCAGAGAAAATAAAAGTAGAAAGAGGAGGGAAAGTGAACTGTGGAGAACAGTGGACCCTGGTTTGCTGTAAGAACCGTATTAGGCACTGAAACCACGTTACCCTTTCAGATAGGTATATACGCCTCCACGGTGCAGTGGGAGAATGGAGAGACAGACTCTTGGTTCCCGGAAGGCTTTCTTTACCTAAGTATCAAGAGAGGTATTTGTCCTTTAGCAAAATGTACTGCTGGCTCCCATGTGCCTGATAATATCAAGAATAATTCAAAAGTCCCTTGGTCAAGGTCCTTTACATAAAACTGCAGGATCTTGTCATGATCCCCACATTCCCTTTAATCTCTCTCCAGCAAGAGACAGAAGCAAATCATGACTGTTGACTATTGTCTGTTACTAAATCACATCAAGGTCTGTGTGCACTTCTCCGAAAGATCATTTTACACTGCTACAGTAAACAGGGCAAATAATGCTTGCACAGTTCTTTCAACTAACATTGGACTGGGCTGGTAATTACTGTTACTAACATGACCAAGAAGCATAGGCCCAGAGAAACTTCCTTAAATGAGGTGCTGGGGTTACAGGGACAAGTTTCCCTGTCACTTATTGTGTCCTTCAAGTGATGAGGAAAATGGCTACAAGGCTTGGTTGTTTGTAGCAATAAATCTTTTTGCATTCTTTTATTTATTAATTTTTATTTGTTTGTACTATTTCATACATATATATATATAATATATGCTGGTCAGACACTTTGTGGTGGTCTGGATGAGGTGTCTCTCCTATGTCACAGCTATTTGACTACTTGGTTTTCAGTTGTTGGCTCTGTTTGGGTGTGGTTACAAGGCATGGCCTGCTGGAGAAAGTACATCACTAGGGGTGGGCTTTAAGGATTCAGAAGGTACTACCATTCCCAATTAGCTATCTTTGTTTCCTGTTTGTGGTTTAAGCTACACATTCTTAGGTTTCTGCTCTAGCCACGCATCAGTCTGCTCTCCTGAACAATTTTGAGTCATAACCCTCCGGAACCAAAAGCCCTAAACTCTCAATTCTATGAGTGGTCTTGAACATGTATTTTATCACAGCAATAGAATAAAACCAATACATAGTTCTGTCCTCTGTTATCCACCTCCCTCCACACCAACCCCATTGCCTTTCCTCCAAGTCCCCATCGCACTTTCCTGTCTTTTGGTTTGGTGACCCACTGATGTCCCCATCAGCAGGGGTGTGGAGCCATCCGCTGGGACCACTGAAGAAAATGACTTCTCCTCTTGGAGTAAGTCTCAGCTGCCCTACAGAGATAAAAATGTACTGTGTCCATATAATGGAACATCATGCTACAATGAAAATAAACAAAGAGCTGATGTCTAACATGGGTGAACTCTGGAAACGTTCTGCTAAGTGAAAGAAAGCAAACATGGAAGAGTGTGTGCTGTGTGATTGCTTTTCTATTAGGTGCTGCAGGAAAAATAGCAGCTATACAGAGATGGAGAGTAGGTAGGGGTTACCAACGGCTGGGGTGGTGTCTCAGATGAGGAGTGACTGCTTATGGGTGGTGTTTCTTTCTGACATGAGAAAGATATGCTGATGAGTACACAAATGCTGTAAGTAAAGTAAGACCATTGATCTGTACCCTCCGTATGAGGCGCTTATGGAAAGTCAGTGATGGTGCAATAAGGTGTTTTCCATCCCATACACTCATCATCTATCAGTCTATCTCAGAGGATGGTGTCACCCTCTTGGGTGAGTACCATATCACTGAAGCCAACTAAGATAGAAAAAAAAATGTCTGTCCATTTCTGAAGTCAGTGTTTTCTCAAGAGTTCCAAAATGGACTCTGCAAATAAAAATTGTAAAGGGGAATTTAATATACCTTTTGCATCCTCCATAAAGATAAGCAACCCCTCCCTAATTTCTAAAGTTTAAAACCCTTCATTCTGCTTAAAATGAAAAGGCCCATCTTCCTCACACAGCAGGTTGATGGTGACTGACTTAAAGGAAGTCAGAGTCAACCCCACTCAAGCTTCCCTTTCACATGTCCACGTTGTCATTGCAGACAGTATCAAGTAGAATGTGGCTTTGTCTTTTTTTCTTTTGTAATGAAGTGCACTGTGGCCACAGCTGGAGGCTCTAGGGGAGGAGCATGGTGACCAGGGAGTTATGAATCGCTAGACATCCTAGCACTTCTGTTAGTAATGATGCCTAAGTCTCTGCCCGAGATTTGGGCTACCTCAGAGCAGAAGAAACAAACAAGAGTTTGGACCTTTCAAAATCTTCTCCTAAGCCAGACATTGGTGGCGCACACCTTTAATCCCAGCACTCGGGAGGCAGAGGCAGGCGGATCTCTGTGAGTTCAAGGCCAGCCTGGTCTCCAGAGGGAGTGCTAGGATAGGCGCCAAAGCTACACAGAGAAACCCTGTCTCAAAAAAACATAATAAATAAATAAATAAATAAATAAATAAATAAATAAATAAATTTAAATACAAAATCTTCTCCTAGACCAGGATCCTTACAAACCTCAAAAGGGGGACAAAATTCAGACCAAGTGATAGTCATGGATGAGAGAAAATTACTTTGTATGATCAGTCATCTCTTCTCATTACTAAGTCAAGTTGGTATTTTATTATTACCCCCTAGATTCATATTTTAGATGGGATTTTCAGTATACAAAGAGAGTGAGAATCTGCCTTGGTTGTAGAAACTTCCTGCAGCCTTCACCGTGCTTCAGGAAGTATGCTTTAATGACTCTGCCCCAAGAAATACTATGTAATTTTCTTCTAATATGGTAGTGTTACAGCTGTTTCTCTTTGATAATGAAAATTGTACTTCAAAACTTTGTCCTTGTGGTAAAGAAGCTTATCCAAGCACAGAGTTTGAAAAGATAAATACCAATAATTTACAAATGCAACCAAGAAGTTCAAATCAGTATGTGGCCTCTTTTGAGGTTAGTTTCCTCACCTGTAATGACACAGCTGCAAAAGCCCTCCTGTCATATGCAGAACTTCAACACCTTTTCTGACACCTTTACTTACTTACTTTCACTCTTCCTTTCCTCCCTACTTTCCCTATTCTCACTTGTCCCCCACACCCTACCCGCTGCTTTGCTCCCACCCTGTGTAGGTGGCCTATATCTCCAAGGGTACAGGGTGATGGAACAGACCCACGGCTTTGAAGAATCGGTAATTGAACTCAAACCCCCATCAGAAGAGTTCAAGACTTTCTATTTCTGTGCAGAAAACAAAACAGAAAACCAGCGGTAAGCCAAGACCTCCCCTTCCCTCCCTCTGTGTTAGCCTGGACGAGGTCCCCTTAGTGAACTTGTCCCCTTATTTTCTAACTCCGCTCCCTAAACTTCATACTTACTGTTCTCCAGGGTTATTTTTCTTTCTTCTCTTCTTCAGTGACTCCTCTACAGATACTTTCTTCCCCAAATGAAATATAGTAGCCAGAATTCCTGCCAGGACAGTGGGTAATACAGGCTTCAGTATTAAGGAAAACAAAGAAACAAACACACCCCCGCCATTTACAATTTGTAAATAATCCATAGATTTTTAAATTATATTTATTAGCACATCTTAGGGTAAACATAGATCTATCATTTGGCCTCTTCATATAGCTTACATTGATTTGTCCATTTATATTTGGTTGGTTGTTTTATTGTAAGCCATTGAAGGGCATAAAACTGATTTAATTTGTGTTGTATTCAATCTCAGGCTGTCGCTCACAAACGAACATCGAGCTCAAATGGTTCAGAAATACAAGGGAGGTGAAGGTGCCAGACACAACACAGTGGGGAGGGGGTTACTCAGCATCCTCCTCCTTCTCTCCAGCCTCCCAAGATGTCCATGCCCTCAGTACTCATTCCTACCCTCACCTGCATCACAGTAAACTCACACTTGTTCCAGGCCTTTGACTACAATTCCCATAAAGAAATTCATCACTAAAGCCAGTTGATGGCCTGATAGAACTTTTCTAGGGAAATTTATGAGAAGCTATATTTTAAACACAGATAAAATCCCAAAAGTAGGACTTTGGTGATCTCCCTCAAATAACCACTGAGATAAGAGATCTGGGACCTCCTCTGTCTTTTCCCACTATGTAAACACTGTGTGTGCCTCTCCTTTGATGGGGATGCTAGAGTAGAAGGCAGGTGTGTTACTGCTAGGTGTGTTGCCATGACCCTCTTCCTGGTCATCTGGCCAGCAGATACTGATGATAAAGCTCCATCTAGACCCAAATCAAGGGTCACTGAAGCTGATCTAAGTCCTGTATGATAAAACCTACTGATTTCTCTGTTACAGAAGGCTCAATAGTTGGGGTTGACTGTTAGGTTCATATATATATATATATATATATATATATATATATATATATATATATATGTGTGTGTGTGTGTGTGTGTGTGTGTGTGTGTGTGTGTGTGTGTCCTCTCACACAAAATAACACACATAGAACTTAGAGCTGCATGTTATTCCACTTACCCCTAAAGTAAGTTCAGTAAGTGATAAATGTTACAGTCTACACCGAGAGACCCACAAATCCATTTACTGGTGTTTCTGAAATAGCCTGTTGGAAATATATAACAACCAGAAACAGTTACCTGCCCTTCGAAACAATATTTCATAAAACATTGTCCCAAGAAAATGAAAGCAAGACAAAGAAAAGGAGGATTAATTAGAGGGTTTATGTGGTTTCTGTAATTTAACAAAGAAATATTTTTACCAATATGACAATATTTATTCCTGTTTGATCAACAAGGCTTAAGGTTACATGAAAATCCCAAAATGCTATTATTGATTTTAAAACCACACAGCTTCATTGATCACTATTTTTGAGCATCTTCCTCTTTTCTAGGTCCCTTACTTTTATTATTGAGCCATCTCTATGTTATGCCTTCTCATTCAACCTGAAATCTATAGAGCATGTTTTTCTAATTAAGTCCAAACTAAATAACCAAGAGAAACAATTAGAAAATAAATTAAAGAATTTTGTCATATTTTACCTCCCTAGGGTCTGACAGGTTTAATGATCTGTTCCATGTTTTGTTTTGTTTTTTTCTCTTGCAGCTGGATTTCAGCTTTGAAGACATCTATCAAAAAATGGCTTCCCTTGGACCAGGCTATTCAAGAGTTCATGAGTCGACCTCTAGAGGAGACCAAAATGTGAAAGAAACTCTGGATAAAAACACACATTCCACAAGGGTGTCCTCAACTTGAGGAGAGAAAGAAAGCTTTTCTGAAATAGTTTTTCAAATGAATCTACTCCTCGTGTGTTCTAAGTTGTAGTAACTGATATCAGTGTTCAAGTATTGCACTTTCTTCCCAGTCTCCTCTCCAGACTGCTTACATTTCCATCAGAGTACCTTAGTTCCCCACCTCAAGCTTTTGAAAGCATAAATAAACATAAATTTGTCTCATCTTATCTTTTATGTTCTTGGCAAAATCTTTCATTCAGACATTTAGCCACAAACTTCCAAGAGTATCTCTGGGCTATGATGCAGGACAGTAGAGAAAATTAAAATCATGGGAATGGTGTCTTTCACAGGTGTTTTGGCCAAAGGAGTTCATCTTGCTTCGGCGCTCTTATGACAAACAGGCCTAAGCAATGCCCCAGTACTTACTTCTCAGGTGGAGTTCTTTTCAATGATTTCTAAAAGTTATTATTTAAAAGAAAAAACCAATAAACTAAGGAAATAGACTGAGTCTAAGAGAGACATCTCAAGGACAGGGCTGTGACTCACCATGTATTTCTACAAAATCAAAACGAACCAAGAACTCACTGCTCTAGACCTAGAAATCAAAATTTGAAGACAGTAAAATGAAGCCTTGGTTGTGTTTCTCAAGTGTGATGACCCCTGTGTTGTATTGAGGAGGTTGAAATGAATTTTGGAAGTCCCAAGTCCTGGACCTAGACCACAGATTTCTTTCATGTTAAGCTGTAAGATGAAAATACCCTGAAGCAACTCATACACACATGACACAAGGTGAAAGCAAGTCTGCCCTTTCATAAAGAATGTTGTTTCTGAGCCCCAATAGCGTTGCAGCTTGGCTGGTCTTCCTTACAGATGAGGGTGGGAAAGAGAGGTGACTCCCTGACGATGACTGTATCAGTGGTTCCTGGTAGAACTGCAGCTCAGCCCAGCATCATCTCTTCACCCAGCCTTTCCCTGCTCATTCCCATTCCCCTCACTGTGCCCAGAAAAATGTGATGTGGTCACAAAAAGACACTGAAGCTGCCTGTCAAACTCGTCTAGTCTGCAGCAAAACCCTGAAGCAATACCCCCATAGTTTTCTCAATATGACTTTCAAATCATTTTTATTATTTCTTTTAGGTTTGGGTATTATAACATAATTACTTTATCTCACCCCCATGTCCGTTTCCTCCCTCCAAAAACCTTCCACATACCTCTCCTTGTTCATTTTCAGATTCATGGCTTTTTAAAATTACTTACACACATTATTATTCTTTGTCAGACAGTCTTAAGTGCGAAAGAAATAATAAAATCATGCATTACCCTATATTCTTTATCACCCCTTTCCTAAAATGGATATGAAATCACCCCCAACACTGCCTGTGCCTGTTACTTGTTACAATTCAGATAAAGAAGTCTTGTGAGCAAGAGCGATGGGCTCTTAGTCTATGGATTAGGAGAAACTGCTTAGATGAGCTCAGGCCCCACAGCATCATGCTGTTGTGTTCTCACCAACTTCATGCCATAAGCAAAAACTATTTAATTAACGACAACACATAGCCCTCCATTCTGAAAACGGTGCCTTTGTTCTCACAGTGTCTGCCATGACAATAATGAGGTCTTTCAGCTGAAGCATCAGGAATGTTCATGTCGTGAACCTGGAGCTTGCACTTCCTCTCCCCTGTGGTGTTTCTGCCTCTGTGGGGCCTGGCCATGGAATGCACAAACTGTGCCGTTACCAGGCAGCCAGCTAGTGACCATAACCGACTGTGACATTGGCATGGCACTCTCCCCTGCAGGATAAAAACAAGAGCAAATGCCTCGGTCAAATGTGAATACAGTGTTCTCTGATTCAAGCATCCACATAAATTCCTTGAAAGTGGATGATGCCAGCCTTTCCAAGTGCAGAGACACCACCCCAAATTTTCTACTGTTATTCTTGGAAGGGTCATCTGACCTTCATAGTCATGGACATTAACTAAAACAATAATCAAAAATTCTGGGTGCACATTTTTATGCAAAGGGTTGGTAATTTTTTAGGAGATTCTCAATGAGGAAATGTGACCCAGAAAAGAAAACAAAATACACTTTTTAGTTCTAAGATGAGACCATTTCCTAGGACCCAGCAGGTTTGCAGCTCCACTGGATACAGACAGAAGGGGAAAGTACAGGGCCAGCCTTCTACATACCCAAGATCTGACTGTACATCTTGGGATTAGCCTCTTGTCAAATCAAGGAACACTTCCTATGAGCTCAGTCACACACTAGATGTGTAGTGAGCACATACCTTGGACCACCCTTCCTGACAGCCATCAGTCAACTACCAGAAGGGAAAGGCAGGAAAGATACGCAAATCATTTGCTGCCCAGCAAGGGGCTTGGAGTTTCAGTTCTAGTCCTACCTCATTCTGGCTACAATGCTAGGGAAGGTCCTTGAGCTTTCCTTGTTTCAGCATCCTTGTCATTACATGGGGCAGCTCTTGTCTCAGGTGTCTATGAAAATTCAACAGTCACAATCACTTATGGAAAGTCCCAGAAAACTGTATAACCCTGCAGACTCCCAGGATGATTTTTGGTGTCATTAGCAAGGTGAGTCAGCTTATACATAGACCTTGTGTCTCTGAGGACAGCTCCAGAAGAAACACAGAAAGCTGTGTCTTGTCTCCTAAGGGTGTGAAGGTGAAAAGGATGTAGAATAGATCCATCAAGATTCTAACTGGACAGGATATGAAAAAGCAAAGGTGTTTATCTCATAATATGGCCTTATAATAGAACCACCAAGATCGGCTTACCATTACCAAAACTCCTTGGTAAACTTGATTTTTCCCTGAGCATTCCTAGGCAGCTCTGATCTACATCTCAGTAGTTCTCAGCTTTCCTAATGCGGCGCCCCTTTAACAACCACCTGTTGTGGTGACACCCAACCATAAAATTCTTTCATTCATAATTCATAGCTGCAATTGTGCTTCTGTTATGAATCATAGTGCAAAGATCTAGCACACAGGGTGTCTGATATGTGTGGATTTGGGTTTGAGAACCACAGTTATATTCTCATGTTTGTATAAGATCTGCATGGACCCGCAAGGTGCGCCAACTCTCACTCAGCTCCTGATGGTGACACTGGCACACTTTGGGGAAACCTCTAGACCACTCCACTTGGAGTTCCCATTAGATTGCATTCAGTGAAGACAAATAAACAAATATCCAAAACACAATACTTTATTTTCTGAAGAAGGGAATGCTAAAATTTTCAGTCCAGTTCCTTATTAATGTTACTAGCCTGACAAAATTCCCTCAATGATCCCTTGTGCCCAGATCACCTTTCATTTGTACCTGGGATTGCAACAATAATTTCCCCTGCACTTCTGAGAAAAGACAATGCTTTTTCCATGGAAGTTTACCTAACATCATAGATGTGTGTATTCTGTGTGAGCTTACAGCAATGAGCATGACTGAGCAAATATCTCTGTATGAGGATGTACCATGATTTGGGTCTGTGAGCAAGAGGAACCACATACTGATTTCCATAGTAACTGTGCAATTTTGCATTCCTACCAGCAATAGATGTGTGTTCCTCTTGCTCCACACCCTTGCCAATGTGAGTTGTCATTTGTTCTATTGATATTTGTCATTCTCAATCATGTATGACAGGGTTAGCTTTTCTTTATATCAGCAGTAAGAGCATATCCAGCAACACATATGGGAGGCTCAGTTTCTCCTTACCAACACTGATTATAGGAGCATTCAGAGTTCTAAGGTACTTGTTCTTCATAGATGGGGATGCCTCCCATGCTTTCCAGATACTCTGAGCCTCTTGACTTGTATGATAAGACCCAGAATGAGGCAGCTGCTCTTCAAGTTGAGCTAGGGTTACCAAAGTCATGTGATGACAGAAACTACTTCCTGAGTCAGATATTTTGAGAAGACACTAAGATAAGAAATGTCCAAAGCAAAGGGGCATTACAGAGCAAAGAATAGCCATAAGTCTTGTTAATGGCTATATGTAGGCTCTTCTTCCCTATCCACCATGTAGTTTCTGTTCCCAGGTCCATTTCCTTGTGAGAAGATAATTTCCATCATTCCATCATAGCTCTAATAAATTAAGAGACAAATCACACTCTCCAAAGTGAGGGAAGAGAACAAATTGGTACAGGAGATCACTTCATGAGCATAACTCCAGGAGCACAGACACTAAGAACAACAATCAATAAATGCCTTACAGAACCTGAGAAGCTTCTATATTTATGGCAAAGGACATAGTCAACAAGACAAAACAGCAGCCCACAGAATGAGAAAAGATATTCACCAACCCAACATGTGCCAGAGAGCTGATTTTCAAAATATAAAAAGAACTCAAGAAACTAGCCAGCAAAATATCAAATTGAAAGACCCCCGAAGAGGTACTTTCGTAGAAGGAGACCCGTACCCAGGAATCAGCGAGACCACGAACTTGGATGCAAATAGCAAGAGGCTTTATTGGATACACGGGTACCCGGGGCGACTTAGCTTCTGTGAGGCCAAGCGTGCCAAGCCAAGGGAAAGGGGTCCTTATATAGGGAAAAAGGCGCAAGCTAGAAGCAGGGATTCTATTGGATAATTCTAATGAGGCATTGTACAGAGCTATTCCCATTGGTCAATGTAAATGAGGCGCTATACAGGGTTATTCAAATGAGGC